TCCATTGAGGTTCAGGAGTCCAGAGCCTAGGCGTTTTGTTGACGAGAGTCCAACAATGTCGAGTTGGTACCTTGCCGCCTCATCAACTAGCTCCTGCTCTTTCCCCAGCGAAGATGCGTTCCAGTATCTAACTATAAGCTTCCACTTTCAATGTCGTTCCCATGGAAATTTATTTGAAGTGCGATAGTGGTGATGTAGTTCCGCTCCTTTCTTTATTGTTGTTTACCTTCATATTTTTTTACAAAAAGTAATGTGTATAATAGGTTTGAATTGTGTTTCAGGCCGTATGGTTATAGATTTCTTTCAATGAAACGGTTCGTTTTGAATCTGTGAGATAAGTGAAGTTCTGCTACCATCCATTATTAAGTAAGCAATTGCAGGTTCATCACCGTTTCGTTAATATTCCCGCAGGTTGGGCCTCGTTTTTCTTTAAGACTTGGCCAGCAGAGTAGGGAATTTTGCGTTTAAAAAATTTCTCAACAATAATTGCAAAAAAATAAAAGCAAATATTTGGAAACAAGTTAACTAGGGGAAATTTATAGTTTTCGACAATGTCGGCAAGAACAAATAACCTGACACCTTTCCGGATTCATCCAGGGCCATCGCGCTGTCATTCTTCATTCGGAAACCTAGAGAATCGTTTAAACAGCCAAAGTTTTGTGGTATTTTGGGGCCCGCGGTGTGTAGGCGCAAAACAGCACCACTTTGTAGGGTTTAACACCAACAAACACACCTCGATGCACAGGTGAATACGGTTTGTGAATCAGTAGAAGTGAAAAGAAATAGCTATTTTTGTCGTGAATATCGAAAATTAAAATTTTACGGTAACGCATGGCACCGGTGTTATTTCGGTTATATATGCGTATGGACCGAGGCATATCTGTCAGTGTTCGAACAGGTGAATATTCGACCCAGCAAAGGGTTCATGATTTGGCCCCTATGCACCGCAGGTACTAAAATACTGTGGGACAGTGACCTTAGGAGGCTGTGTCATTGGCTAATAAGAGCAAGGGCACGTCGCAACTCCGCCTGGTGAATCCAGAGACGTGACAGTGCTGAATGAGTTTTGTATATCCAATCACATTTATTTTTCTGCTTAGATTACTTCAATTAGTCAGATTTTTTCTCTGACGGGTTAAGGTATATTCCTAGCGTTAAGCATGGCCACAGACGTCACGCATTTTGTCATAACCACAGCATTACATCATGGTCTCCGTATTGTGAACTTACGGACGATTCTCAGCTGGTTGTACAGAAACGCAGTTGGATGAACTTCTTGCTGCTAACAAGGACAGCTCGCGTTGCATGTAAACTTGAATGGACATCAGCATCGATAAACAAAAGTAAAACACAAGATTTTGCTTTACTATTCATAACGATATGGTTATGATGCATAAACCAAATCAGCTTAATTGATATGAAGTGCAAATCCTTCAGAAATGCATGCGCTCTGATGCATGCCAGTAGTGGTCATTGTTGGCGTTCGATCTGTGTCAAACAGATCAGGGTAATTCGATGGTGGGTCGTCGGCTTCATCCTCGGTTAGCTCCCATCGCGAAGCTGCCGATCATACTCATACACGAAGACTCACCGTCTCGGTTTCTGAGGGCGGCGCTTGCATCCTATTCAAAGTTAGGCAATAGACTGTCGTCGTGAACGTTGACAAATACTCACTGACTTTATGGTGCGTAACACCGACAAATAGTGCCTCTTTAGAGTCCAAGGCTTAATGTTCATTTTTCTCCCTTCTTGAGTGTACGCAGCAGCAATTTTCACCAGCCTTCCACAGTACGTGGGGTCGTTTGGCGTCGGAATCTGTCGCTTGCCCAAGCGCGCCAGCATGCCAATGTGCATAGCCACACCTGCAACAGCGCCGTGTGAAAGTCTTGCTAAGAATATAACCGT